GTTTCTTTAACTGCACTCACTGCATCCACAACTTTCGACCGATGCCAACTACCACTTAATTGAACTTCCTGTTCCCTGTTTTTTTTGTGAGGAAAGAAACCGCCCAAAGGAAGCGAAACCCCAAAAGTCAACACAAGCTCCTTTTGTGACCTTATGCTCAAAGATTTTTTCAGGCTTCCGGTGATAGCTGAGGGTACTTTTGGTTGTTTTTCTACAGGATTGCAAAGATGGTCTAGCATACTTCGTAGGTTTGTCAGGAGGTCACACACACTCCTGAGCCAGTAAACCAAGGAAAGCCATTCGTAATGGAGTCGTATCACATTGACGGTTTAATGTGCTCTTCTTTGCCTGAAACTGGTTATCTTGGAACTGACCTTGTGTTGCGGAATCGCTTTTGTTTCACCGAAAGTTCTACAGACCACCAGTTTTCCGACAGAAGGTATAAACAATATAGTGAGAATATCTCTCTCGTTTGTGATGTTTCCAGGCAACTGAATGTGCTGCACCAGGCCGCCTCATTTTTCAGTCGCTACGATATTCGAGATATCACGATACATGTATATCTTTGTGATGTACTACTCATAAGGTTGCTTGAAATCCGTCGACAGCCCACGAACGGTTTCGCCCTTTTTGGGGCTCATCAGGTAGGCGCAGTGTAAGTAAACATCAAAAATGGGAGATTCAGCTGGGTTCCAGGTGAGTCTCTCGAAAAACCAAATTGGTTTACAAATTTTGCTAAAAGGTTTGTTAGTCTCTCGAAAAACCAAATTGGTTTACAAATTTTGCTAACCTCAAGGTTTGTTTCGGACAGCCTCAGCTCCTTACCACTCTTTGTACTTTGTAAGTGTCACTGGGACGATTAGGCGCGACGTGCATCTATGTGGGTGCGTGCATATCTGGTTTCAGATGAGTATTTCTTTAGCCTGTCTAGTCTTCGATCAACGGTAATGAAAGCCTGGAGCATGTAATGTACCGCACCTGAAGGATGTGCTCAAGTTGGTGGGGAGCTACAAGCCGAACGAATCTCTGGCTCCATATTTTGTTTCTCATAGGAAAATTAGGGAAAATGTTTGGCTCGGCGCGGCGGGCGAGAGGGCAGCTCGTGAATTTTTCGTTGGCTCGGGTTGATTTTTCATTGTCTGTAAGAGAAGTTTAGCCAGAAACATTTTTAATTAACCCTGATTGACTTTTAGGTCATTTCTGACCCTGTTTGTAATTCGTCATGACTTTACACAAAAGCAGTAGAAGAAAATCCAGCAATTTGGTTAGTTAGAAACATTTTGTGCTTTATTGAAGACCACTTCCAGCTAACAAAACTGCGCACATCCCTTCCAGAATGCTCCCAAGGTAAACTCCTCCTGATGAAGCATAAGAGAATTTTTGATACAGTGCCTGCAACTACTGATAGCTCTGTAGTTATTGCAACACAAATGCATTGTGAGATAAATTTAGGATCTGTCCGGAGGTGACCGTTTTGCCTGCCTGTAATCAACCTATCTGCCCAATTGTTTCCGCCGCTATGGCCACACTATAAGGATTACACTGTCAACGAAAAGCGTTCACAATGAGACCCTACGCTGCAGACATACGCGCTTGTCCACCCTGGCTTCCAACACAAAAAAAACACGGGGGTGACGAATATCGGAAGTTGGGAATCTGTTGTGGTGCAGAAACATACACTCTTTGAGCCAATATGACGTGTTTGTTCAAGTAAGACCTTAAACATCCATCGTGAGACTGGATTGCACAGTACATGACGACGGTGTCTGACGGCAGCAACCGAAAGGCAACATCACTGGCAGCAGGACAACAAAACCGAAACTGTCCTTCAGGGTGGAGAGCAAAATGAACACGAATACGGAATAGAGATTAAAATTACCTTCGACCTTGTAAGGAACAGATGCAAAAATAGTAAACACGAGTGCCTGGTAGTTTCCTACGTGCACCAACAGTGATAAAGTTGTTTTTCTAGGATTTTATGGAAATATGATATCCAACCAGTAGTGTCCAAAACATCAAACTTGGTTCTTTTTTGTCAGAAAGTTGAAAATGCCATGGTGTCTCTGTTCGGTGAGTCAGATGGGGTCATTCGAGGCTTTGGATCATATACACGGGCACTAAGTCTTCGTCTGAACTAACACAAGTTCTTCCTACGTGCACCAACAGTGATAAAGTTGTTTTTCTAGGATTTTATGGAAATATGATATCCAACCAGTAGTGTCCAAAACATCAAACTTGGTTCTTTTTTGTCAGAAAGTTGAAAATGCCATGGTGTCTCTGTTCGGTGAGTCAGATGGGGTCATTCGAGGCTTTGGATCATGTACACGGGCACTAAGTCTTCATCTGAACTAAACACAAGTTCAAACAGAAGTGTCAGTGTTTTCCTTCTCAGATGGTTTAAAGTTTGTTGAGCAAACCATTCTGACTAGGCACCAGTGGTCAGCTGACTATTCGAATAGTGACTACAGCATTCTTCCCTATTCCCGTCCCAGTTGTATTTTCTGTTGTAGAAACACTAAACTTTTCATCTGAGCCACCATCCCATTCCCCTCTTTGATACCCCTTTTTCCATTTAATTGGCTTGCCTCACTGCCTGGAGTACCTCCGAGTTACAACCACTGTCCTACCTGAAAGGTACCCGACCTCATTCTGCTCGAGCGACCATTGATGTATTAACGCTTTCACAGCACAGTCCGAGTTGTGTTTTGCTTCTGAAAAGACAAACGATTAAGAACATGACAGAGACCTCGAGGCATAAACGGGCGGATGTACAGAAGGCCAAAGATTGCATGAGTGAGCTACCTCCCGCCGTATGCGAATCTGTAACCATGCGACTCATTTTGGTCGCTAATTTGGCGTCAACTGGGAGACCCGAGTCTCCGGAAGACAGAACATCAGCTTAGTGTCCAAAATAAGATTTTATCCATATCGATTTCTCGAGTATGCACCTTTCCTTACGTGCTATTGTGGGGATCCTTATATCTGGTCCAAATATCCGAACTACAAAATATAACAGGCAATGGTCGGTAGAAGCGATTAAAATTCGTGTCCACTACATGAAAGAATATAATGTAGACGGATATCCGGTTCCTGTGATCTGACTCCTAGGATTTGGCTCTCAAAAGCCAGTTTGTCCCGAGAGAATTCACCGCATACATTCCGTAGCCGATGTTCCCTACAACGAGCAGTTAGCAAGTACAGCGATCGATTCATAACGGCGTTCAGATATAAGTGAGCGTACTGGTGCATGTGTGCGTGCGTGCGCGCATGCGTACGCCTGGAGGCAGTAAAGTATGAGTGCTAACGAATGTGTTCCTAAACCGCAAACGTACGCGCTAACCGGTAGAAATAAGCTACCAGTGATGAAAAAGATGAAAAACACTACAACCCGCCTTATTCTAATGAATCTGGATCGATATGGAGGGTCAGGTCCTGATTTGTACAGTTGCTTCGGAATCCCACATGGTTCTTCAGCTGGATCAGAATATATTGGGCTTTTAGCGCATAAAGAAGCAGACATGTATTACATCCCTACAGAGAAAGTAACACACGTTCATCAGCTGAGTGACCCAGTCGCAAGGGCCATTTGAAACTTGATCTGAGCATACTTAGGTTTTTTGACAAATCAGACGTATAACGCATGGAAGAAGAACAAAACCCTCAGATTGGAAGAGTGCCAGAGTCTGACAAAGAGGTCAAAAGTGGAAAAATGCAATCTGTCATAAAAACGGCTAAGATTTGAAAAGACCGGTTTCTTACCATAGAAGGCAAATCACCCAGACATAGCCTTAAAATGCCTTGGTGATTTGTACAGTAGTCATCTGCGACCATTTGTCCTAAACAACACTTCCTCCTATCAAGATTTCGAAATTAATATGGAAATGGAGTTGTCGATATGTTTACCAACACTCGAAATAATAACAGGCTGAAGCAAGAATGTTACTTAGGGTAATTTCTCGAGCAAATGACACACGCACCAAAATCGATAGCCACCAAACTTGATGACCTTGTTAGAAAAGTCAGCATTTTCACTTTCATGGAGCTTGATCTTTTCAGATATTTATAGTACCCAGCGGCATTCGATTGGGAAGCTTTTGTGAGAAAACCAAAAGTTTTCAGTGATTCATGCAAGAACTACTTTGATAGACGAAAACTCAATTAAGCGCACTGGGAGGCACACGCTAGTTGCTTGTGTCAATCCGTTTAACGTCTCTGATCAGGTCACCTATTGTACTAACGGTAAGGCCTCAGCACAGTATATACAACGGTAACATTCTGGAAATTCGGGCGCTTTCTAGGCGGTACACTAGCAACAGGCATCCAGTAGATACTGGGACATGGTTGGCTGTTGAGTCCATATCTTTGATCAGTCTGATCTCGCCTTGATGTTGAATCGACCAGTGGCCCGATCATCTGACCAATCACGTTGCAGCGCCTGAATGCAAGTGGCAGGGTGCTTTTAGATCAGGATTCTGCCTAACACCTATGGTTCAGCTTCATAGGAGACTTAGCGGCCAAAACCACTGTGACGATATTTTTGTACTATCTTGCGAGCTAACTTAATAGTTCACTTCAGTCAATGATCTACCTCGGGAACAAGTCCTGTTACGACCGCTTGCTCGGAGCCAAAACGTAACACACTACTCATAAAGTTGCTGAAATTTTTTTGACAGACCACGACCAGTTTCGCTCTTCTTGAGACTCATCAAAAAGGCATGGGTTTCCTCCAACCTTATGTTCTATTTGAACCCCAGTTGTACAGACTTCTGCAAACACTCCTATCTGTATACGAATTTGGTTTTAATCCATTGGCCAGCTGCAAAATCGATCGGGCGGAAAAAAAGTGTTTTTGGTTGAAAGAGATTTTAATTCTCACATCGGATGCATACTCTTGGGGATGAGCAACTGAATGCTCAGTTGAGTAATTGACACACAGAGAAACAACGTCGAGATGCGACTTGGCATATGATTGACGAACAACACGAAAACAGGGAAAAGATGTCGGTGGGAGGGGTTATATGCGTACATCGAATGACAGAGAGACTTCGTTAATGTGAGCGGTGACTGAAATAAAAAGAAAATAACGTCGTAAGTGTTTGGATTAGTTATCATATGATCAGAAAAGAGGAAAAAGTAGACGTCATTCATAGGCTGCAGGCAGATTCTATACATGAATATGTTTACCCTCTGGAGATAAGATTCTCATCCTACTGAAAGCTGTGCTGTACACCGTGGAGTCTCTGAGGCACAGATATAATAAGCAGTTTTGGGATCCGACGCCTATGTGAGATTATGGGCAGCATCCATATTTGTCCTACCGGTAGACCACTAGCTTGATAGGCAGGAGGTCTCAGGTTCCAGTCCTTCTCAAAGGCCCACATGAGTAATCAAAGTTACACTAATTTCCGTCACCGGTTCGTCTATTCATATCTATAGCAATAAGCAGGGGTAGCCACTGAAAGTGCTTTACAACTGCATGGTAGCTCACAAATTTCATTCCCAAATGCACACTTTATCATCTTTTGAAAAGACACTGGCAAAAAGTTGAAAAATGTTTCCCAATTGAAGTTTTCATCCGAAAGAGTGGGTTACCTGAAGGGTTCACCTGATGATCACCATTTGCAGAGTGGTATTTACTGTTCAGGACAGAAAAACGTTTTTCATCTCACAAGCTGTTGTATCTATATCAAAAGGCATCATGATAACTTTTCCACACCAATTACGTCACGCTCCACCCTGTCACGTCTAGAACCATGGGATCTGTAGGTTGGCATCAAAAGTTCCAAAGTAATCGAAACGTTTTTGTTCAATCTAATTGCTTCTTCTTATGAGATTCGCGTGCTTTCGACTGGACGCCTTGAAACATAATTAGACACTGGAATGGTGTTGTATCAACAACTTTCCACAACTTTCCGCAGATATATTATTTATCATCTTCACCTTATCTCAGTGGGGACCTGTATTTACTCTCACTCTGCAGTATTCGTTGTCGGTCTTCATGCAACGCAGCTCATAAGTGACGGGATGTCAGCTGTGACACAGCGTGTTTCCGCGTGCAAACACATGCCCATGAGTCGTACAGACCAACATTCAGACTAACGTTCGGTTGTACTGTGCTGTCCTTCAAATTTTGATTAAACCCTCTTTTACCGGGTTCGCTCACTTCTGTGCCATGTGAAAGCTAAACAATTGCCGTCGAAATCTGCAAATCACACGTCAGAAAATTGATCCTTGGTCAGCAAAGCAGTTCACTGTTTTGTCACTGGTGTTCCTCTCGAAGGTAGGTTTCCCACACAGAAGTATCTTCAGGAGGAGGAGTTACCGTGCAGACTGTATAAACGACGGCTAATCTGTTGCTCTTGTTTTAACTACTGGAGAACCCGTGCCTATGATTCTAGATGTATGTAACATGACCTTATGAAGTACTACACTCAAATCGACATGACCTTCCTTTTAGCGAATTATTTACGTCACTTAACAGTGCGCGCGCTAGTGTGCCCGAAGCACAGAAAAACTCAAAGAAAACAAGTACTGATAACTCACTTTAGTACGCATCAGTAAACAGTTAGGAAATAAAACGAATAAAACGCGATTCAAAGCACTGTAACCATAGGTTCTCAATTCTCGTTTTAGGTTCTTCAGGATGTTGCCTTACACCAGATGCGAATAAAATCTGTCATTAAGTCCCCTAGAGAAGGTGGGGACTTGTGGAAAACAAAATATTTTGAAGAACGAGAACATGCTGCAGCAGTTTATTGATAGAAGGAGATGTCAACTTCCTTTACTTTTTTACCCAAATTTCGAGAAGACAAATTCCGAGTGAAAATCTGAGAACTCACGAAACTGGCTGAAGTTCAACTATCTGCTTATTCTTTATGGTTATTTTCGTCGGTCTCCTGAAACGTAGCGCTATATTGATCCAATCCCTGCTTGACGATGTCTTCCAACTTTGCCTCACGGTCGGTGGACGGTTCCTGGAATGCAAATAAAACGCTGATTGTTTATCACTGACAAGAAGTTTGAGCTGTTCATGGCAAAGTGCACCGCGGGCCGACTTACTGTGACCACAGTTTGCAGGAGACGTGTCATAGCTTCGCGCTTGATTAATTTTGTTTTCTCTATGCTGCCCAGACCTTTCAAAACGGTTGCTAGGTGTTCGATTACTGTGGTCATTCCACATTCAATTCTTGTGATGCGTTTCAGGACGCTGGTGAATTCGGCTTGTGTGACCTCTGGTGGACCACGCTGATGTTCATCGGTTTGACAGGCTTCCAATACTATCTTCTCCTCCTTTGCTATTTCTTGGACTAACGTCATCTGGAAGGAAAAAAGGTATATAGCTGAGACACACAACTACCAAATAGACCCCGCCTTCTAACTTGAATTTTATAAGGAGGTGTCATCATCGGTAGAAGGTCAGTAGCTGAGCTGGGTGCAGCTTCCCATACCCATTCGCCGAACGAGAGCTAAGCAGGCTATCAGATGCACAGACACGGTCCGAACCTTTCTGTTACCGTTTGTTTGCGGATTTCCTCCAGTTTTGAAGATATAGTGATTCATTTTTTTTGAACCTCCCAGGCTTCTGATTTTCTGCAATCAGGAAAGACAGTCGAGCTGGGAAACTTTTTGAGGTTCGAGCTTGTTCCTTTGATTTCGAATCGAGGGCAATCAGGTTATTAGTGGTTGGCTTGCTCGCGAATATATAGAGTTTCGAAGGGTTCTCGCACAGAGTCGTACGCGCTACAATCAACGGGTTGCCGTTCATAAGGCTACTTGCACTTTGCGCCATCCTTAAAATGTACTTTGTATGACAAATCTGTTCATAGATAGTGAGAATTCGAGTCTTTTGTATTTGAAAATGTTCACTGATTTACTGGGAGATTAACGGCCCTAGATTGTGTGTCAAGACACCATTGGTTTGTAGACTGGACGATGGTATCTGTACAGGTACTAACTGGAGGAGTGACGACGAGGAGCATTGGCTGAGTGGCATTTTGGCACATTTAGATGGTAACAAGGAATGCGGGATGTGTCAAAATACCGCTCTCATCATATTTCAATCGTGTACAGTTTGCGATGTTTCTGGCATCCCACCTGGTTCACGAATAGATGATAGGATTAGGGAAGTTAGTCCCATGAGGATTTATCGATGATGGCACACTGGTTGCAGACTTGCCTCCAAATGATTTCATTCGGAAAGCACCGGCACAACTGTTGACAGTGTGAATTAACATTGTGCTTGCCAACCTAGCCAACGTCTGCCTCAGAAGAGACCGACAAAATGTCGTAGATCCTCTAATATTCGTACAAGGTTTATTCACAACCTCGAGGCAGAGCCCGTAGGTTCTCAAAGAGGATGCTGGATTCGTTTTACGTATTCATGCTGGAAACAACGTGCATAAGTTGTTAGGACTGGGTTTGGTAGCCAATTTGAAGGACTTCATGTGAGGTTCGAACCTTGATCTTTGTTGTTCTACTAGTGAAACAGCAGGTGGGAGTATTATCATGACCCAGCTAAGCCCTGTGTATACCTGTTTCTATGGTAATTCATATTTTCGAGATCACGGGATACACTTATGTATACCGAGCATAACATTGACAATAACTTTCATACTCGTATCATAAGGAAATATTGTCGCACACATTACTTAGGAAACCCCATGAGCTTCAAATTCCATCAATCAGAGTAAAAAACGACACTGTGCTGACACTTAACTTTGAACAGTCAAAGACCCTTTTGTTTTTACCTTTTCTTCCTCCAGTTTGGCTTGCATCTTCAATTGTTCCATACTAGACAGTTGACGGTCATTATCGTAGTCAAATCTGCCAAACACATTGTCAATTTCCTCACTGGTAAATCCATTCCTGAGTAAAAAGTAGAGTCAAGAAATATTGACAGACCATTGTCTGACATAGTCTAGACGTGAACATTGAGTTTATGGAAACGATATGGCAAACAACGCTTATATGTTCGGACATCTAGATGTACAACACAACGCAGGCAGCAATAGGTACCAGCAGGAAAGGTGATAATACACTGAAAGGATAAATGATCTACGCTGACTATACCATATGGTACCTAATGGACTAATGGAAAGGGAATGAAAACAGGCAATAATTCATTGTTTTTGAATGTTCATCGTTGGCCGGGTGTTGTAACTTGCTGTACGGTAGTGCAACTCTGTATCGGTCCCTTGGCTTCCTGCTCCGCCCACTATGGTATATCAAAAGGCGGCTCTACACAGCCCATTATGGAGACAAAGGAAAATTAATACAGTTGTATTTATAGGGTAGTCACAGTGTTCCACAAGGTCGTGCCAGAATTTCCGTGAGGGGGCGGGAAGCGTCGAGTCACAGGTGCTTGACTAGGATTGACTGGCATTCTGACCAATCAGGGCATGCCTTCGTTTGGCCCGTGTCCTGCACGTGACACATCTGTCCAATTGATGTGCTGTTCGGTTATTAGGGGCGGCTGGCCCCCGAACAACGTTAGAGACTGAAAGTCTTTACAAGCGGCTTATGTACACATACCAGAGAGTTCGTCAAACGGATACAAGTAGCCGTGGCAACCGTCAGCTTGCACGGTCCCAGACGAGAGATATACCGTGTGCGCTCCATGGGGTACAACCAAACAGCGTTTCAGAAGAAAGATGAAGAATTATTTGCATTAAGAGAGATAAAGCTGTCATTCTGGGAGACGACTAGATCCAGCTTTCTGTCTCCACGAGGCAGGGTAGCTTTTATCATGCAATGTTAAGTGAAAGCGGTCTCAGCCCACTTTTAGTCAAAGTGATAACTCACTGTTTTTTTACAACCTTCCAAGTGTGCGCATGATCCAGATACTTAATCAACCGGTTTTTCTAAAGCCAAACTTATCGACTAATTGTCTTCTTTGTCCAGAGTGCCACCTGCTTCAAAGCTGTTCGTAATGCCATACCCCTGAGCCTAAACCCATCCATTTGGGACTCGTCAATATTATGTCCCAAGAACCATAAGATAGATTCAAACATTCTGAAGAGAAGACTCAATCCTCAGCTATATACATACAGGTTGTCGGTCACTAGATAGAATGTAGAACAATCATTAATCAAGCATGTCTTTTACATTATGTCATCTGGTGCTAACTTGGTGCTAGAGTAATCCGCTTAAAAACAGGAAATTCTAGCAAGTCATGCAAGGCTACTATGTGATAAGTGATCACCGGCGCAGCCTGTCAATACCACACCACTGAAATGTATGAGTGAAGGTGGAGTAGCAAAAGTGTAAGCTACTCTGCTTATCACCCCTCGGTTTTCGAATGGTAACAGCCGTTACTACCTTAAGGAAAGCTACGTATCGGTAGCAAGGTTGGAACAACCGTACGGCTTTTTAGCGTAGCTTCCGTTCCAAGTCTTCAAGTTCTACCCATTACAGCTGTGCCATCAGGACAGCTTTTACTAACCTCCTTCATGAGTGGTTTCCAGTGTGCAATTAAAACAGTCAAATACATCCGGATTTCGAAGACACTTTCGAAAAGTGTGAATAAGAATTTACCAACCTAAATATATCACCCATTGACTTCTGTTCAGAAGGGATCAGACCGAGTAAACTTGTCTGTAATATTGTGACTGGATGAAATGCTATGTCTTCCATCAGTTCCGATCACTAGCTGATAGACAACCATAGAGTGGACACTAATGACAGTCCCCTTGCTGCATCGATTTCTATCGCTGTTGTGCAAATGCTGTCAGTGCAACCCATACTAACAGGCGAGTCGTTTGATGGTGAAACATTGACCTCCTTTAGTTTGACGTGTGGTGATTGTCCTTGGGTTTCTGAGTGCAAGCATGTGACGCGTGTTTCAGCCTTAGCACTAGAGGATGGTGGGCCTGGTCGATAAAGCGGAGTTCGTAGTTCGTTTTCGCCGAGCGTCGATCATAAAATCGTCGGTCTAATGTTTTTTTCACTGCTCGCAACAAGTACTTCGCACACCAGAATCGATTTTCCCACGGAGTCAAGAGTAAAATTAGTAGCTTTCTTGGACAAGAGTGCACGTGGAGAAGTGTACAGATGAATGACAGAAAGGTTGGGTGGTAATTTACCAAGCTTGGGCCAGGGGCAAACTCACGCGTTCAGATGTGTGACCAAGTCGTCGTAATCCATTCGCCCGCCTTTACTCGTGTTGGCCAATTCCATGGCTTGTTGTAGTTTTTCGATGCGACTTTTCTTCATCTTCATTTTATCCAACATCCTCTTCATCCTCTGTTTTATAGAGAAAGAAACATTCAATTAGACAGAACCGTAGTGAAGTTTTTGAGTATCGGATAAAGCGTGAACGAGTAACTTCAGTTTGCTGCCAATCAGCCAGGTCGTGAACCAAATTAGACAAAGCTTTTCACTTCCAAGAAAGTATCTTCATTTTAGAATTGTCTTCCTACTAAACTATGAAATATTCTGCATTTATTACATGTGCACAAATCGATGTGAAACTAATCCCTGGTGTGAATTCTTTACGTGCCAAGCTGTTTTTGTAGCACATTCGTTGAAAGTAGATGTTATAGAAGCCAAAAGGTATGAAATCTGAACTTGAGCACTCACAATTTCGTTCCAGTTCTCGCAAATTTTCGTTGACCATTGCCAGATTGTTGTTTCCAAACTCAAGAGTGTTCTTGGGATGTCGAAAGGACCTCACCAAACTTATACGCAGCATGTTGTGCCGCGAAAATATACGTTGACAAATTTTTATTATATTTTAGTTATTCTTAATGATATTTTGAGTGAAATCACGGATGGATTAGCAAAACAATGCAAAACTGGTCTGTTCACAATCATTCTCCTTATGTATTTGCATACCAATAATTTTCCTTGTTCAAACTCCAACACTGACTGATTATATGCTATAATTAGTTGACGTGACCAGCTGATGCGCGACTGCACCTCATGACCACAAATTTCTGGCAAAACTCACTGAGGTCGTGTTGCTCGACGGTGGTCATCTCCAGAGTTACAACTTGTTTACAAAGTAATTTTGCCTTGAATGCCACCTGTGGAAACGTATCGCTTCCATAAGACCATCTCACTTTGTTTTCACTGTGATAGAGTTGAGCATCGTCATAGCACGTAGGGTCTTAGTCCTTGCTTGACAGAATTCGCATACCTGCCAACAAGATCCCACAACCATGACGTCTTTTCCAGCTAATTGTAAGAGAAACCGAGAAGGAAGTAGTGATGCCTCGAAAGAACAAACAATCTACCTTCTGTGAAGGAAGTTGACAGTCATACGGTCATGTTAGACAGAGATGGCGATCACAAAAGATTGCCGTATGCGTAGAGCCAATTATGACTTTGTTCAAGCAAGTCCCATCCCAAGCGAATTTGGTAGATCATAACAAGCTTCTTAGAAGTGGTATGGAGTCACTTATGCGCAGCCGGTAGTGTTGTCCGGGAAGTCAGATTCGTGAAGATTAATCCAGAAGGCTGAAGGGATCGGAAAATTAATCGAACCTCCATCGTTAACCCCCGCAAGTAGCCCCAATAATCACTGGACAAGCATCCATTCGTGAGACTAGCTCCTGACTGAACGCTCAAGTAGCTAACCAAAGGTAAAAAGCAAAGTCTCAGAAGCCTGTCAACCAATCAGAAGTAACAAACCAAATACCATATATTTCCTCAATTGCTTGTTTGCTAGTTGTTTTACTGAGTTCTTTTTTGATGTGTTCTTTTAGGCAGACGGCAACAGTTTGGTGGTAGGGATTAGAGCTGACCTGATAGTGGTCCCTTATTGTTATATCTGCCGATTCACCAATCTGTGGTATCTGCTGCTGACCCGACCAAGTGCCTGAAAAAAAAGACTCCTAGAAGGGAACACAACAGCTATTATCCGAACAAGCGAGTGTGAGAGGGTGAGCGTGTGCGAGTGCGAGAGCAAAAGTTACAACGGCCCCACGCTATTGATCCAGGCTGTCTGACAGGCTTTAGTGAACACTCATCAAAATCGATCGTGCCTCTATGAAATACCTGAACGCTGATCACATTCGGTCGCGCTTCTGTGGCGTGCATGAACACTCATCAGCTTTTGCTGAATCGATTGAATGATCAACTGGCCTGGATACTTGCCGGCTTCCCTGTTGAGATTTTGGTGGAGCAGTAGGTTCCGGGCGTTCTGAGGTTACTTTCAGGAATCTGACCTTCCTGATACTTATCAACTTAATCACCGGTGTTTAGCACAAAGCATCGGCACACCGTATGTTTGGCGTTCACTACTGATCTGTGCGGGCTCAGCAGTGAGACTTGGTGATGGCTGTGGCCAAGGTATAGGATAAAAATTGATTTAAAAGCTCCAAATAGACTGCCAAAACTTTTTGAGAGCAGGTATCTTGGTAAAACATATCAGTGGTCTGGACCTGACGAACATAACTCACCTGGGGATGGTTGTGTCAAAAACAGCTGATGCGATGAAACTTTGCGTACACAAACCTGTGTTCAGGAATGAGTACGACAATTTTGTTTGGTACATATAAGCCCCATCGGAAAAGGTATTAACTTCTCAGAAGTGAGGGCAAATCATTCCCAAACAAGAACAGCACTATGGTCTTAAGCGGACTTTTGGACTGATTGGGGTGACCTAACGGCTGAAGCTGAAGACCCGATCGATTCCCTCATACTTTACACTGCATTGGTACTATTCGGTATAGTAGTGACAGGTTTTGATTAGTTTCATATTCTAGATGATAGGACAAAGTGACAAAACTGGTGAACTTTGATCACTCGTCAGAAACTATTCTTTAAAAATATAAATCAACATTTTCATGCGATTTCTCCTTTGATCTACGTATGCACATTACGGAACGCTAGACCTAATTCTCGGATAAGGTGATATCAGCCATCCTGGAAATCGGTACCATGACATGCCATGGAACGGGGTCTTCTGTCATGCTTCTGAAATGTTCATCCAAGAGGTATTTTAATCATAGAACTTCCAAGGTTTCCACTGAAAACAGGTGTGTACAAAAACGTTTGGCGTAAAAAGTTGAAATAGTATTTAAACAAGTCTGAAACACTTCGAGTTCCTCTGGATACCATCCAGTTTGCTACCAGCTTATCCGCAGTGTCTCTGGAGAGCCTTCTGTCAGTCATAGGTGGAAAAGTAACTCCCAAGTTTTAGCTGCGCACGAACTCACCTTTTTGAAAAAGTCTCTCATCTCAAATTCATTCTCTTGAGATTGCAGATCCGACTTGACACCCACATAAGTCTCGTTGATGATGGCGATAAACATGTTTATAAGCACAAAAAAGACAAAGAACACGTAGACGATGAAATAGATGGGACCGAATACGCTATTGGCTCGCTCCAAGGCATTGAAATCGAAGTCACCCAGAATAATTCGGAACAGGGTGTATCTGAAACAAGGATGAAAAGGTCACCAGAATGAGACAGAAGATATGGTGGTATGGGCTCCTCTTATTCAAAAATAGACGAATGAAAGGAAAAGTTTGAAACCATCCTTTCCCAAAGTTCATCAGTTTTTGTGTTGTTTTTACTTCAAGACTGGTACTACTGCTGCTACTGCTATTTTCGTTTGCCTTTGACGACCATGATCACAAAGAGAACGATGAAAATTGGAGAACAATATTGTGCAAAAAATTGAGTTCTAAGGAAAGGCGTTCCTTTGCACGGACTCTCTTCTTCAGTGAAATAAAACCTCAATTCGTCATTTATTTTGGCTCCTCAGCCTTGCTGTAAAATGTTATTTCACTGGTGGAGAGAAGACGAGCAGACAGCGAGCAGACCATCAATTCCAGTCTAGTGATTTGTTTGGAAGGGTTTCTGTTTGACCATTGGTCGAAATGACAATAAGGTCTCGGATTAAGTCATGAGTTACTCACGCCTCGTTTGTTTCGTTTAAGCTCAATTGTTATACTGTGGGTGTCTTCTCCCGAAATTGCTGAGTGACCTGCTGTTGCGGAATGCTCACACTGAAGAAAAAATGAATCGTGAAGATTCGTCCTCCCAAAAGTTTTTTTCGAAGACTGTGGCTCAATACAAGCAGTCGTTGCCATGCTCACAATGAGAAATGCGGCATTTCTTTTTGAGTGGCATTACTTGGAGGAAGTCTTGATGCAACAAATGTGTAGTGATGTGGCACAAAGCAGGAGGAATGAAAATAATAGGGGTTGGTTTAGTAACTCGAAAGATTTAGTAGCATTTGATAAATCTGTCGAATAGCTCGGGCGAAATTGGAATGACGACTCTCCTCCGGGAGGTTGGCGTACGGTCTCCTGACTAAGAAGCATCGTCATAATCAGTGATCAATACTGATGCTTCGCTACCATAAACAGGGTACATGGACTGAACGATGAACTGCCGATGCTCAGTGAGCAGTCCGTGGTCCAAACACAAGAGACCGGTGTACGTATATTTGAAACCGGGATCTGATGTGTGGCCAAACAGTCTACTCTTTCGCTGCCAGCTCATTGGTTCGTGAACAGAGAAGTCAATTTCTAGCTGCTCGAATATCAGTAAATCTAAGTTGTTTTTCACGTTATATCGGACCTGAGACGATGTTTGACGTAGCAATGTCCTAACCACCTCTATTTTTCCAAGAGCTAAATGCTGCAATAACACATCAATGCAGGGTGTACAGACGATCCACTATGAATAGGCTTCGGGGGTCTATCACGAAAGTAGTCCAATATTCAGTTTCGCCAGAAAATGACATCAAGAAACCACCCCTCTCTGTCCGTCCAAACTTACACAGAAGTCATGAACTGACTGAAATCTTCCACTTGCGTCCCGAATGCCAAATAGCCCAGTTCAGCAAAGGAGAAGAATACGATGAAGAACATGACAGAGAATCCGGCCAGGTCTTTGGCACAATTACCCAGTGTTGAGCTGAGCTGCGTCATGGTTTTGTTGAAGCTGATATACTTGAATAACTAAAACAGAGAAATGGGAGAAAATAGAGAGAGAAAATTTGGTTGAGTTTGGTGTAGTTTGTTATCTGCAAGGCCTCTCCAAAAAGGCTCCTTTTGGATTGAGACAGTACTAACTCAGAAACATTAGGTTACAAACAGGAGCAGTTCTTTCATCCTGCAAAACTGCGTACCGTTGCTATAGGACTGAAGCCCACTTTGGTCTGGCTAGCCTGAGAACTCAGGCCAGCTATTCAGTGGAGTGATGGTATCGCAGACCATATGATAAATGAAAGCAGCGGATGAATGAAAATAGCTTATACAAACTGCTTTTACGCAGGAGTGCAAGGTATCCCAGAGAGGGAAGCCATGTACTGTATGTATTCTGTGAAATACACGGAGGCCCAAAGAAGATGTGGGTTGTAGTAGGCCGAAACATCCTCGCTGAATGGAGCTGAAAGTCTTCGATCAACTTTTAATTTTTTCTTAGCTACTCTTAAGTAGGGTGAATCGGTCAGATCGCTCCAGCGTGAACGGTTTGTCTGTGCAGATTTTGTAATTCAGCTACGCCATGCATGTGCTGGTAGAGAGGTGGTAACATGCTGGTTTAACATCTCTGGTGTCCGGAGTTCGAATTCAGGCATAGCAATGCTGACGAGTTTCAACAAGAAAGGAATGTAATTGCAGAGCCACCCCTCCCCGGCTTGATGAGGCTGGGAAATTGCGCCTGGACAAGAAGGAAAGAAGAGGCAGCGTGAATACAGGTTCCACATGCCAAGCAATTACCCATCGCGGTTGCAAATCTTGCGAGGGATGTTCTCGAAATTCGGGTGTTCAATGTTGAAAAGGCAACCCACCCAAACAACCAGTTTTGTATTAAAAAGTATGTTGCACTGCAAGCGAAAGTAGAAGGTATTCAGCAGCTCAAGAAAGATTAAAAAGCTGGGGAGGCGCAGGATGTTTTTTACCTCATTGACCGTCTATAAGGTTTTCGTGCAGCTCCCCTCCGTTTTTTAGATCGCAGATTTACTCACGTTAGACGAAGCGGTGAGTAGTCCAAGAAGAGATATCTACAGAAGATGATGGCATGCTCGACCAACACCAGTGGATGAATACTGAAATGTTGCAACGAAGATTACCTTTGCACAAACTGTATCTCACAAAAACATTTAATGTTTCGACTCAGCTCCCATAACGGAAGGAAGTGCTCTGTTTCCTTGAACAGATTGCTGGTTTAGACAATAGATAGCAAGAGCCAGGGAACATGACTCTTCAGTGATGTTGATTTTAATTCCCAATCGCCAGTGGCTGAGTGAGCAAATGAATTAATGGTCCCAGTTCATAAACTGTCAATTGTTGTCCTATCCATTTGTTTGGTACTGTGACCAACTTACGAAGATACAAAAACAGACTGGGTTGTCTATGCGCCTCAAGGTCCACCTGCGAGATCCAGTCCTGTAGCCATCACCAAGTCGCACATCAAGCACCATTCTTTCGCCTGAGCAACAGTTTCAGGCGCCGTGAGACACTTTGTGTACATAGGTCCATAGGCAAACAGAAAAAAAGTTTTAATTGTGCTGCAGAGGGCCCATGATGACCATATGAGAATAAAAATAGGCTCCTTCCGGAACACGACAGTTGGTCCAAAGTAGGCTGCAGTCGTTCAGAATAGGTGCGAATCCAGCCTAGGTCTTCATTTGTGTTCCATTTCAGTGATTCCGATAAAAGTTCACTTTTATAAGAATTTCTCCTCTGACACGTGTAAAACCTTTATGAGTTTTGAAGCTTAGGAGATGGAAGAATGGACTGTGTACACCTAACACTTAACTAATCCGTCTGGTATATACCTTTGATCCCTTGAGCAAAATGTATTGCATTCCGTAATCCTGGTAGATGATGTGTTCTAAGTAGCTGAGGTTGAATCTGAACATGCTGTGTTAGACGAACTGGACGATACAAGTGACGAAGAATCACTCCACTGGTCTCGTCTGCCTCTAAGTTTTTGTACCCGGCACAAAGAGTGATCGGACTGAAAGTCATTCAGTGAATTGACGACTTTTCACATGAGCCGAGCACCATTCGCACAAACTGAGTGACTATTGCATAGCGATGTGGTCGAGGATGTGGTTAGCGACCAATCATGTAACCTGCACTCACTGAGTCAAGGTATGAATCATTGTTTGTATCTCCAGAATTGAATACAATTTAGCGCTCACTTTTAAACTACGAAATATTTCCGCAGTGTGCAAGGACTATAGAGATCGGTTCTGTTAGGTTTACGTGTGAAGGAATGGTCTTTTGACACATTTATGCAGAAAGTGTAAAGTATACTGGAGAAGGTAAGGTAAGTAAAGTCGTGAACGCTTAAAAAAGTTGCCAGCTAACCACACACACATCACCACCATCCCGATCTGGTGATTTATTACCGATATGAAATACTGCGTTTTTCAGGTACACCACTGAAAAGTACTGCTCACCTTTATCCATGACAAGAATACGGTAATGGCGATCCCGTAGTTGAAGTTCATTTGCCAAAAGCTCAACAACTGAAAGTTGGCAAACGAATCCTTTTCCACCAAAAGACGACTGAGTAGCTCGTTAACCTTGACTGTCCGGTAGATGTTAAAGGCAGCGCACATCAGACTCAGTAGAATGATGACTATGTCAAGGATATTCCAAATGGAGGTGAAATATGACAGTTTGTGTTTGGATATCTGTTGGCAAGGGGGGAGGTGTGGTGAGGAAAAATCTAGGTTACGTTTTAAGGGAAAACTACTTGAACTCGTATTACAAGCCAATTCTGTCTGTGTTGCGAAGCTGCAGCACCATATTATTCCTGTAGAAAATAGCTATTGCTCACATGAACTCAAGTGACTGGCTTGAAAATTAGGACCTGCGTAAATCTGTGCAATTTCGTACACGAGTCAGTTCAGTGCCTCAAGAATATCTCGTAACTGAGGAAAGAAAACGTAAATAAAATCTAAGCAAACGCCTTATCGGTTGGCTCCAAATTTAAATGGGGTCCCTCACTCTTAGATGAAGTCAAACTTAATTAAAGAGCCTACAGGAGCGGTATGACTGATCTATCCTCATCGGGAATTCTCAGGAATACCCCTGTCGGCAAGCTTCAAGGTGATATGAAACCACTGTTTTTCGAGCAGGAGTTTGAACAAAATCTTTTTGAAAAAGCTGTGTGATCAGCAGTGGGCCTAACTTGCAGTTGGATGGTTCAACTTATTGGAAAGCCATTAGTGCATTAGTGATCATCAGGCCAGTTTTGTCTCCATAGTCAACCTCTCTCCTGCCCAATTCACAGGACGAATGGGTAGTCTTGTAAATGCCAGTGAAATTGTGGAATTCGGCTACAGTTGTCTAACATATCACCCTGAAATTAGGCCAAATTTGGATTGTCGCCCAAGAAACGAAGTAGCAGCGTCACCATTACTAACTGTTCGTGCAACGGTAAACAGTACGAGGAATTCTGACCGCCGGCCAATCATTAACGAACACGAATTAGTGATACAGACCGACTTCGATTACGGATTTCCAACATGAACCGGAGTTGGATGCACCCTCCTAAGTTATCAGGAACTGTGGTGTGAAGCATGAAATGGTGTGACGAGCGGCGGCACACTTTTGGCAGTCCAATGACGTGTTCAAACGACTTACTGCTCCGAATGTTGGCTACGAACGAAGAAACAAATGAACCTGGTAATATCATGTGTGTGGCAACAACAGATGGATACATACGCCTGTAAGGCTGTGCTAACTGATAGAGGAGCGGGTTGCAATTTTGTTGGATGCTGGTTCGATTTTTCGGTTTCGTTTCACTCGATTAAATGTAAGCCTGGTGTTTCCTTACATATAAACAGGTATTTTGCACCTTAGGACAGGTGGTGGCATTTCTTCTAGCATGGGTAAGTATAATCTACTCCATCAAATATGTATGAGTAATATATTTTGCACAAGTTTTGTACTACTCGAATTGGGTTAGTTCTCAGCCACAGTTAGAGTGTTTACCTTCTGTTACTGACTATCTAAACGAATGTGAAGTGTGGTAAGCTTTCATTGAACCTAGATTGGGAAGCTTAGTTCATTCGAAACATTTATTTTCTACGAGATGCTGGTGTTCGATATGAGATTTACGGCATCACTCTGACCGGAACAGGTGTCAAGATGTGAGATGCACGCCTAGCAACGTGAGACCATATTCGTTCTTTTGTCTTAAAATTTCTAATCTTACCATATCTACGGGATACAGTTAATGTCGACAGGATATGGTCTCTCATACCTGTACGCTTCTAGGCGGTAAGTATCAAGAGAGCCCGATGCGATTGTAGAGCCAGTTAGTCCAAAACTGAAATAGGAATGAAAACTGCTCATCCCAAGTGGACGGCCAATGTTATGACACTGACCTGAGACCCAGAGTTTTTTCTACCACGGTGTACCAGAGAAAGAGCACATTACATCAATTAGCCCCTGAGTAATAACTGGTATTCGGCCACTTTGTGTGTCGTGTAAGATAGCCTCCTACACAAGGCCCACAGAAAGGCTTGCCTTGTCAACCAATAAGTCAGAGAAACAGAAGTGCTAGCGACATAACTGTGGAGTTGGTTACGAAAGTCTACTGAAGCCGTATGGAAACACCGCGTGCACTGACGGCGTGCCATGCTAAGTTGCCCGTAAGATGCCGTCTCCCGAACAGAGAGCTGAATCTGCCACATTACATATTAACCATGCGTTTGAGTTGCGGCCGGTTCTGAAATTTAGAACCTAAATGGCATTTGTGTTTACAATAAATTGGGGATGATCAGGCAACACCTTGGTCCAACAACAGAATTCAACAGGTACTTGCAACAAACTGATGCGGTACTCCTAATTATCTCTTTGGAACGGATGTAAATAACGCTGCTTTGGACAAACTTACCTCCATAATTTCTTCCACAATGTAGTACAGGGTGAATAGGAGGAAGATGCATTCGCAGGCCAGCACAAAGTAATCCAGTGGCGTCACGTAGCGAATAAGCTTGACTGATCGAAATTCACCACCCACAACCAACCCACCTGAGGCAGGAACTTCGGCGATAAGTCTGTCGGGTTTTCATATATGGGTGTGAAAAATGTGTAAGTCAGTATTACTTTGCCATTCATGACTCTGTAAGATGTACCTAGCACGGAGATGATAAATATGCAGCGTCAGTTTTTCACGTTTTGCTTTGAATGTTCTCAGAATTAAGCTGAAGAAACAGACCAAACCTCGTCGGAAGCTCCTGAACCATTTTACTGGAGAATACGATGGGTGCTCCAACACAAAGGAGAGAGGAGATCAATCGCCTATGAGGTGAGTGAGACGTTTATACAAATTATGCGTTAGATTCGGTAGTCCTGAGGCCTTATGTTTTTTTTCGCACTCAGATGCACAGGAAAACTAGCTAGCACTTTTATCAANAATGTAATGAAAAATAAACACCCCGACGCTCTCACCAAGGTTACAGGTTCTGTTCATTTGTCATTAAAGAGCTTTATGCCAATTTTATTCACCTTACAAGTAGTTGAGCAATCCTGTTTATATTCCACAGCATTTACTCAGATTCGTTCGAAACAGGGAGGCAGTGCACTCGAATTTCACTGACATCAGAGTCCTTCAATTCTCGGTAGTACCAGAAATCGAATCCTGGGTTGTGGGGCAAGCATTTAACCAACGATTAGTTCATATTCTAAATACATTAGAATTACGAAAATCTCGCGCTTGTCCGTATTTAATCAAAAACTGTCCAACAGGTTTCGGTCTTCCGTGAAAGTTTTGCCACTAAGACGACCGACAGAGCCAAGACAGTCACTAAGACTTCATTCAAGTCATTGTAAAAATCGATCAAATCACTCATGCGCGAAAATGTCCACTTGTTCCAATATGATAGTCCAAATGCACGGCGTAATACATAAGTGTTTCGAATGGACTAATTAAGGTAACTGAACCAGGACAACACTGTGTCTCCAAAAAACCTTTCCACAACGTACAAGTAGGTGTATTTAGGTTGTTTTGCGATTTCAAAAGATTTCATCCTTCAGTGAGATCATTTCGCGCTAAAATGTCGAGAAGCACTGTACATTTGTTTCCTCTTTGTTGAATGCCGTCAGTAGCGTACATCTCACCGGTTCGATCCGGTTCCGTAACTTCCCGACTAGGCTACGAGCAGCTGACTAATGGTGTGACTCCCACCTAGACAGGATAAAGCGCCACTACTGCCTCAATCAAGGCGCGCATACCACGTGGTCACGCGTTGACCGGCTCTTGGTAACCACAGGCACTACTAAATTAATTGACCACCTCACCATTTCCTCCACATTTTGTTGAAAATTAGATTTTGCCGCGTTTCGGTTAACTAACTCAACCAATGTATCTTACTCAGAAACCGGCAGCCTTGTCAATCAAATAAAAGCGATAAAATCTAGAACCCGGTGAAACTCTTCTTTCGGGAAACTGGTAGATCAAATCTGTAGTTTTCCGACTGACTCTTCGAATAACGATTCTTCTTGATATCTGTAGCACCTAAGTCAACCTAGATACGATTTCCTATTAACCATTCTCTCAGGGCAAAACGTTTTCATTGCGCTGCAGATATGAATGAATGACTAGCCATGTCTATTTAGTCAAAGAGCAAGCGGCTTCTGTGATTTCCCCAATCACGGAGCAAGTTTTTATGACAAGTCTATTCTCCGCTTATTTTTGTTTCAGTGGAATTCTTCGACTGTTTCACCAGAAACTACAAAGAGTGATCATACACACTGATTCTCACTGTCAGCACAATTGAAGTAAATATGTTGGGTACACCTCATCACTGCATTTCGTGGGGAATAGAGTGAGCCAACTTGCTGAAAGAATCTACTGATATTTCAACATATATGTGGTTCACGTACATAACTAGATTCTTCAGTTGGAATAGGGATCAATGAACCAATCACATCTAACTGGCAGATGCAACTGCCAAAAGTGACAGTGAAGCTGTGTACTGCAAAATTGTGCTATTCGGCCACACCTGCAACGCAGATGTGCTGTGATGTGAAGCTCATCGGTTGGAGGTGGACATTATAAAGCAACGTCGCAACGATGTTCATTGATCGAACCATAAAAAATGTGCTGTAATCAGACAACACAAACTTACTGAACGACACAGAAGATATTCATATTGGGATTGTAGGTGGTGAAGTGAACAAACACCGCTCTAGTCCCCCGATTCAACCACAAATGTTCAAATAGCTTTTGGACCTGCGCTCTCGCTTCGGTTTCGTTTCTCGACAAGTCCTCGTAGTATCCTCCACCGCCGTACAAAGCCACATCTCCGTAGAATGTCTGCATTCCCAAGACACTCGACGACGTGTAAGTCCAACTTCGATAGTAAATGACAAAATGACGTAAAAACAAGGAGAATCTCGATTTACTAAAAGCCCTTACTGATGGGGTTAGTTGACAGGCCTGATTACTTTCACTGTTTGCATCAATTTTTTCTTAAAAATTCAGGAAGTTGGGTGGAGAACGCTGAATGGGTTGCTGGGATATTATTAACTTGTGGAGTATGTCAATAGTATATGAACCATTGTATGAAACCTATTATTGGTTCCACGTGTGATAACAAGCTGATTGAGTGTACTCCAACGCAACACGCAATGGATGACTACTAGGTAGGAAATAAATGAAGCAGATGGTACATTGTATGACATTTAGTTACAGAATGATCCGCTGGGTTCATCAACGTTTCCCCAGTTGAACGAATTAGTAGCCTCAGACGCGATGCGAGCACTGTGGATTTAATCCCAGTTACACTACAAAAGAATGTGTATTCAAACGACAAACCACCGTCCAAAAACCACGTGATTAGCCAGAATATTGTATACACCTAAATTTTTCTTTGATCGAGTGAGAACTAGCGTGAATAGCTGAATAAAATAAACCCAATGCAGTGATTTCCTCAGTGCGAATCCAAAAAAATTGACCGTTTATTTCGTGAATAAGTCCCAGTCAGCCAGTAAGCCCACAGTTTCTCTACAAACAAGCGAATCTTGAGCGACATGAATGTAGGGCACATGCTGACAGCATCAGTACTAAACTTTTATTTTCCTTATGCCCCGATTTTCCTCTTAACTTGGCGCAATTGACTGTATGCGTTCCCCAGCCTGTTCGTAGTATCCAACTCGACGGCAACTGCCGACAGATGAAAATATCGCAGTGTTTTCATCTTTTCCAAAGCTAGCATTACTAAGATTATCTCTGCATCCTCAGATGACTTTGATAGGATTTTCGGAACGATAGGCTCATTTGCAGACCAGGGCCATGATGCTTCACACCTATCAAGACGTTCTACATTTGATGTGAGAAAAGTAGGCATAAAGTCCTCGACCTGATCCGTGACAGTGATGGCAAAGGACGCGAACAAAAAGAACAGGCTCAATAACAAAACATAACCAGTTCACAACGGAGATGTACACCGCTTTTGATGTGCTTCCGACGTCGTCTGGCAGTTAAGCTTTAAATTTTCAGTTTTCAGCAAAGGACAAGAATTGTAGGGGAACGAGTTTCACTGTGCTTAGTGTAGCTCTATCCGGGTACAAAGTTATCTCATATTCATTACCTCTACTTAAATGGGGATTTAACTCCCAAGTAAAAGTGGTTTCTGCAATCAACTACGTTAATCTCGAAAGGAGGACTCACGGAGGGAAGTTTTTCGACCGATACTAGATAGTATCCTCTCTTTGGGGGTTTTTCACTTGGGCCCTAACTGTACACTACTTAAATAATACTTATGCTTGTATAGCTGCCCGAAAAATGGACAAATATTGCTGTACGGTTCATACGTTCTGGATGGGAACTACGGCAAGCCCAGTTAAGTCTGTATCCAGTTTCAATGACCATCCTGTCAAGCCATGCAAGAGCCGAATTCTGGGATAATTCGATTAACTGTCCTGTTCCGTTTATTTTTACTTTCCGGAGATAAATCTCCTCTACAAGTTATCAATTTACTGCGACCAGTGGTCTATTTGTAGACCACTAAAATTGCGGTGGAAATACTCACGGTCATGTCATTTTAGTAATATATAATATTAATTCAAGGTTAATTCAAGGTTTAATAGTCTAAAAAGCAATTAAATTTACAACGACCATAGGGTGAACTTATATACACAAAGGGACGCAAAAATATGCGTAATGTTTACTGAGTATCACATGGAGTTCAATAGTTCCAGATTCGGTTTGGACATAAGATATGCATCTAAATTGTTCTTGAAAATGGTTAAACTCGGCGAATGTACAACATTGGGAGGTAGGGAGTTCCAAATGAAACATTCACGAACCGCAAACCCCGGAGTTCCAAATGAAACATACACGGACAGGCAAACCCTTTGTTGGTAGACAACTTCAGGACTGGTAACACTTTCAACCTCATTAAGTGAATTCACGCACTTGACGGACGCTTGAGATCTAATCAAACTTTTTTTGAAAAAAAGGATAGAAATATGTTTTTGTTACGAGAGTACAGTTAAAAGTTATGGGAGATCGAAAACAGATCGAAACAATAAGCATTTTCATACAGGAAAGCACTCACAAGGTTGCTGATTACACCTTGACAGCCCACGATCGGTTGTGCCCTTCTTGAGGTTCAACAGGCAGGCGCATTCCCCGAGTTTCCGTCAAACTTATGTTCTACTTGTACCCAAAATGGACAAATACACTCATTTGCAAATTAATTTGGTTTTCACCGGAGACTCATCTGAATCTCTCGTTTATGATATTCTTAAACTGAATGTGCTTCACAAAGACCATCTCAGTTGGTACGATATTCGAGATATCGCAGAATATTTTCATAAAAGAAACTACTGACAAGGTTAACAGTTCTCATGGTGTTGCGTGATGCGTCATTTGGTTTGGCCCTACTCAACACACGAAACCGGCTCACATGCGGCAGGTCCCACATCTCATGACAAATTATTTCAAGTCAGGGTGTCAAAATTATGTATTGCGTGACACACCACCACCAGAACAAGGATGAATCTTCCGCCACTTATAGCACGCATAACGACATACTGACCAGCCACAGTTGCAAATCTCGACCGAGGGCCACTCCAAAGTTTACCCCCACACGCAGCTGTAGAGGGTGTAGTCAGTCAGGAAGGGCTGACTTGCGTGAGGGTCGTCCAACTCGTTGCAGTGTAAGAGAGCACAAACAAAAGGAACGCTGTTATGTGGAACCGTTCTATCCTAACGAAAAGACTGAAGACCAGGTTATCTTCCTTAACAATCAGGTAGCAGTCGACACTTTGTTTTCACTGTGGATGGATGTCACCCCACGTAGTGAGCGATCTTGACACGCTTTCACTGTTGGCCGTGTTACTCTCCTCGGGATGGTGTGGTTTGCTCCTTTTTAGGTGGTCAGTTCACCAGGCTGTGGCCGTACCTCCTTCAAGTTTCCTTTGTAGTGTGCACATGATTACAAATTTGGAATATTTGCATTAGTTTCTTCAAACCGTGAGAATTCCGTCAAATAAGGGTCTAAGATAAGTTTTCTGTGATTGACCACCTAACTACTAACTTGATCTCAGAGGATGCGCTGAAAATGATATTGCTAGAAATACCGACTGAGACTTACGCAGTTCCATTCCCTATGCCAAATGGCGCTTTGTCTTCAAGCCGAATTTCATATGGTCCATAGCACTCCTTGATATCTTTCCTGAAGTCCGAAGGCACCACGCAAGAGTTTGAAGCCATTCGAAGTTGTCTCAGTCGTGGCATACCAATTAACAGATTCTCAGAGCTAACGGACAAATGCTCTGCATCGATCCACATAGGTTGACCATTGTACCAATCATTATCATACAGTGCATCCACAATCGGTCCCTTGATCACCTGCGTTGGAAAAGAAAAGTAAGTGATACTGGAATCTGTGCTAGTCTGGAGCTGGTCTGGTGACACATTTGCAGCCGCATGTCTTGCACGGCACATTACGTGGAAACATAATCCTAATTAGGACAGACTAGATTCTTATCCGTACTGACTATTCGAACGGTGGGACGACTGTGTCGGTAACTAATGTAGGGGGTAGACATAGTGGGTGAGCAGAACTGGGGGAAAACTAATAATGCATTGTCAGTGCAATTTGCTCAAGTTCAAGTATTTTCCTTGCAACCTGAATTCAGATGCGAAACATGCACCTCGAATACAAGTTAATAAAGATTCTTCGAATATGGATAAGTTGCAGTCATCAGGGAAGCCTGTTTTACTGGACGTCAGTCATCATAGAATATCTGTACATTTGAACTCTGAGAGGTCATAGAAATAAGCTGAACAAGAGGGCTGTTCCGTTTTATGTCTTGGCTGAAGATTGATCAGGTCTGTGCCGGATTATTTTGAGTTGCAAATGAAGCTCACTGTACTCAGTAACAAAGTTTATTTCATTTATTCAGCTTAACGATGTGTGCGTCAGCTCACATACTCTGGCAGTCCACTACAGGTTTCACCCTTTTTGAGGCTCACCAGATAGGCATACTCATTGGATTTCCATGAAACTCGCAAGAAAAATCATCTTTCTACTTGCGTACACTTTGGTGTTAAACTAGGATACAGATGGAGAGTGCGCCTATTTGATGAGTCCTAAGAGGAGCGAAGCCGGTAGTGTGCTGCCAAAGAGTATTCATAATCATTATAAGTGGTATATTATGTCATGCCAAGGACCCTAATATTTGGTTGCACAGAAAGAGTTAAAGTGATTTTGAACTGAGAGTATTATTGGTTGTTGATCATCAGTGCGCAGTTGAGTGCAACTGCGCACTGATGATGTCTCCTCGTATGGTGACGAAACTTTTGCAAGCCAATTGCCAAGCTCGGCGAACACGTCAACAGCCACCTGATCAACAACCAATAAACTCACCCGAGCTACCTGTAGTGTCTGTAATCCGTTGTCCCATTTACCATTCTTCCTGAACTTAAACTACACTTTGTAACTGTCGTTCCCATTATATCATGACGTATGTTTTAATGTGACAAATACACAATTTTCCGGCGCGACCTGCTGACTTCTTGCTGAACGAGTGTATTTACGCTCCATTGAACTTTTGTTGACTGNCGCGGAACCACCTGTGGGAAATTCCGACAAGTGAATAATTCCTTCCACAGCCAGTTACTGCATTTGGTTCGGTGTAGTGGACTATCGGACCTACACATTCGTGAGTTCCCATTTGACTACTCATTCCTTTCCTATTGTGATTTTGTGATTTTGTATTGGTTACTTTTGATTGTTAATTTATCCGCACATGCTGATAAGGTCCTAGTCCGCTACATACCAATATTTCAACAAATCACGAACTGAGAGTGTAGTTTGGAGAGGAAAACAGCTTATGAAAGCTCACCTCCCATAATCCATCCAAATCATTGACTGTAGCCAAACTATCTTCTGAATCAGCTACAGTTGCCTCCATAAAAGTCCTTTCCAGTGTTTTCTTCAACAGATAGGTGTTTTCGTTGATTGGGACGAAGGCAACTTCAAAAGTAGAACGAAAGGCATGGCTACTCGTAAGTGGTCAAAACGTCTAGAATTTTTATCCACGTTAATCTACTGAGTGGAAACATTGCAGCCTCTGACAACACCAAGTGTGGACTTTAGAAAGAACTGGTTCACACACACGGAAAAAAGAACGCGCAGTGTTGCTGACTTTTAAAACGCATAAACTCACCTATCATTAGCGTGATCAGAAATAGAATGTAGAGAATGAGTTCGCGCAAAGTTGTATGAATATACAAGTCACGGTTGCCCCGAATGTCCTCGGTCAGCCGAGTCGCCCAAATGGCTAAATGTTGAAATAAGACAGATATGATTAATGTTAATATCTACGGAGCAGGTCCTACCATGGAAAATGAGTTGCTATCAGTTATATAAATAGAAGAGTTAAGAACATCTGCCATTCAGCAATGAACTTCAAGTTTATGTGGGCTCAACGTACTGTTGCGTAACTATTTTCCTGATGAGAATCTGAAAATTTCGAAAGATTTTTTCTTAGGAGCAGGTTAATCTTGTGCTCCTGAAATTCTCTAGATTGAATGACACCTATGGACACCAAGTTTTAGGCACTCAAAATGATGGCCAGAGATCTGATGATAGTTCAATATCATGCATCGTTACAGTAGTATGCAGCTCATGGGTTTAACAGCTCGACTAGAGACAGTAGTTCACATTTAATGTGTGATTTTCATTTCAGCCGGTGACCCGATCCACTTTTCAGATTTTGCATGATGGTGAGATTTGGAGGAGGGAAGCTGGTGATTTGGAATACTGCACACATTGTCAAGCGTCTCGTACCATGAATTTTCACGTCAAGCAAAAGCAATGATATTGCGACTCATTAACTCAGCTAGCATATCCAATGGCACGGTACATTCAGATGTATTGGCTATAAATACGTTATTTAGGTAAGTGAAGTTGGTGGGTACGGCGAAATGACCGCTTCCTCTGTAGTGCCGCCTTGTCCCACGGATAGATTGACTTTTCTGTCAAGCTTCGGTGAATGGTCCCCTAGAGCCTCCATTCAGTTGAGATCTAGTGGAAAAGTTCAGGTTCCAGAACTCGAAGCCAGTTCACTGTAGAGCAGCTACTTAAAGGACATAATCAGAGTGGCTTTTTCCAGAAGCTGCTTCCCAATTAGCGAAACCTGATATTGCAATTTTCAGCAGGGACTTCCGTCAAGGACGCAAGTTAACCATTAGGGGTTTTACTGGGAATAATTTCATCCTCTTCAGAATGACTAATTTATCGGGAAAATCCGAATCAAAAATCATACATCATCGGCAGAAACATTTAATTGACTGTCATAAGAAACGGTTGATATCATAAGCAGTTCTGCCATAACGTACCACCTAATCGGGCCCTTCTTTACTGGACTAAGTTTGGATATGATCTGAGCAAGTATACATGCACGGATCCGTAAGTTAAGTAGTATGCTATTACAACTGAAACTAAAGGATGATCAAGTTAAGGCATAAAACGGAGAAGTGCATTAAACTCGATGCTCTTTCAGTAAATGCGTTTCTCTCTTTACGCACAACAAATTATCCTATTTTAGGTACCCGCTGGATTAAAGCTAAGTTGCAGTAAGGGTGATCCCCGCAATGACTAAGATCCACGAGCTGCTAAGGCATTGCTTCTAGATGTAGCAGAACACTGCATCGCATGCTCATAAAGTGACCACATACGATGTGACACAAAACCCTCTTCTCCGTCAGAAACTCTATAGAGACTCTACAGAAACTCATACATTGGACAAAGCGTGGGTGTCGTGTGCAGTAAGTAGGTGATCCGATTCGAGATCAAGTTAGCTCAATACGGAAGTTCGAGAAGCATTGTACCACTGTTTGATTCTTGCTGGAAGTCATCGGCAGTGCATATCTCGTGGATCTCTAAGAGGATACAAACCCGCTGCCTCTTGGCTGGCAGTTAAAAGATAATGTGTTCGGTCACGAGTAGATGATCAGCAGTCGGATTAACTGGAACTTAGCATATGGCACCACTCACCACTACGTACATTACCTTACAACGTATTGATGATCGTCGGGTGACGTCAGGACGGGCCCAGGTATGAAAAAAGCACATGTGCAGAGAATGACGCATCCCCAAGGTCACTATCGGTACGACACGTCCGGAAACTAGGTGAGTTGGCGGCTCTCACCAAACACGGCTTGGCAACATGCGAACAGCGTAGTGGGCCTGAGACTGTTCACGACCGGAACACCGC